ACTACCCAGAAATCCAGCGCAGTCCATAGTAACTCATTATATTAAATGAACAGGAAAGAAAAGATCTTCTCTTTGTTCAGTCATTTAAAAAGAATATGAATGGATATGAATTAATACAATTTAGATTTAGAACCAGAAACTGTTTTATAAAATCTATAAATGTAAAAAAAAAAAAATCTAAATTTTCTCAAATAACTGTGCAGCCACAATATAATTCTGACAAACCTAAAAGTAAATCACTGAACTTGAGATCTGTAAATAACATTGCACAGCCTGGGGCCAGATCTCAGTGGAGTGGATTTGGGGGGGTTTCTGTCAGAATTGGGCCAACAAACTGGGGGAATATGAGCTGGAACCAACCCGTTCCCTGATTTAAATAACCTTTGTAAAAGTAGGCAAATTTACAACTTCTTATAAAGAAAAAAGGACTTGAAAAAACAACGTAACATCAAGTGTGGAACAGCAAAGTTAGAAGGTAGTTAAAAGAAAACAGAACTTAGCAAACACAGTTCACTGATAAACATTTCTACTTAACCCATAATGTATCATGTACATTAATCATTTATAGACACTGAGGTGAGTTGACTGTAACATACTGTGTCCCAGTGGAAATTCAAAATATGAAACTCAAAATCTGAGGATGAAGCATTATGGAAGTTAAATACTGTAGAGTATATTCACAGTTTCTCCAGATGTGACTTCTATAACCATTTCAATAACCCTAACACTATAAGGTGCATTAATAGGAGTCACATTTGGGGCTTATAGGTTGACTGTCTGTCACTTTACGGACCTTCTGCATATAAACAAATATGAGCTGCACTTTGCTTCTGTGTTTCTTAGTGAAACTTAAAGTTTTTCACATATTATAAACTCCAAAGTCAGAAAGTGTTATGTTCCTTGAAAGTGGGACAAAAGCTTCTATTATAGTGTGACTGAGGGTTGTCTCGAGACCTCCATTTTATCTTCTCACCATCGGGAGACATTAAAACACAACGGAATGAGGCAAAACATGAAGCAAAAACCTAAGACAAAGAGGAACAAATGCTAAAAAGATGGGATACACCAACATTTTCATTTTGTCCAAGAAAAGATGACAATAAAAAACAAACAAAAAAAGAAGTTTGGCTACTTGTGGTTAAGTGCAATTTCTCTTGTGTGGTAAAGGCTGGAGAGGCTGGTTGGCATCTGGAGGTCACTTAGTGGAAGTGCTGGCAGTGAATCTTCTCCTCGGCCTGGTCCAGAAGCTCCAGCATCTCCCGGATGATGGCCTGCAGTGCACGGCCCAGGTCTTCCCGGCTGTAAGGCTTTCCAAGAGGAGGCACATGAATGAAGGCAGAGCGACCGTGGCTCAGGTACAGAGATGTGTAGTAGGTGAAATCACAGAGATACCTGTTTGGGAAGAAAGTAGCATCAAATGAACGAAAGGCTTGGTTACATTAAATGGAACATGCGATAAAAGCTATTAAACTGGACGCATATTAGAAGTGCTTTGGAAGGATTCACCAATACATCATTTATGGTATTTTCCATTCCAATGTGCACATACATTTATTTATAAGGTTCCCATTTTCTGCCTCGATAACCTTGTGCTGACAAACATATACAAAGCGCAAAGCACAAACAATAACATCTTCATGGCATCATGTGAGTGACGTCAAGTCCCTGCATACCTACGCCATAGATTAACCGTACACATGGACGTAAAGTAAGACAGCCAGATCACAACACCTGCTGATATATTTAATGAAAATGTTGATTTTGTTTCTATAACCTGACAAATATGTCAGCATGTCAGATTCTAGCTTTTCGCAGATGTATCAGCATCAGCACAAGAAAGTTTTGTGCAGAAATACCAAAGATGATGATGATAATTAAGTCTAATACAGCAATCCTATTATAAATAAGATATAAGACATAAGATCATAAAGATTGTTTTAGAAATGTAAATATAAACCCATTTATATCAGTGAGGGAAGTCTAAATAACAGAAACACTCCTCAATATAACACAAGACGGTTCAACAGCACCACAAACTGCAGCCTCCAAAATCCTCATAAAGTTGAATCAATACAAAACAGAACATTATAACCTTTATGAAGGGAGGATTGATTACGGGACTGTTGTATTAGACTGCATCAGTTCGACCTACCTCACAAACTGGCAACAGGGTGTATGTTTGAGGAAGTTTGTAGTGTTGCCATTACACAGTTTATCCACCAGAGAGTACTGTTGATGTTTGTAACTGTAAAACGTCTCACTCACTGTTTACAATACTTTAATAACTACATTTAAGGGATCCTTATAAAAAATGTTTATTTAATGTTTTTATTTGTTAACACACATTAACTGATGTTATCAGTTTTTTAAACAATCTAATGTCAATAAAATAAAGTTTTTTGTCTCATAAATCCTGTATTGTTCAGGCTCAATAACTTCAGTAGATAATGCAGATAAGATCTCTGTCATATAAACTGCTGCTGTGTAAGTTATCTAGTAGCAATCCTGTGTATATAGTACCTCCACGCTAACAGGTTTCACTAACTATATATATTATATTATACTATCCTTAATGAAACATATTTATCTTCAGTCTGATGGGATTCAAATGACATATAGATAAAAATGGCCTATCATCAGTAGTAGTAGTAAAAAATAAATACAAAAATATAAACTGCAATGTGTTCTTTTAAGATACAGTACCTACACCAGAAAGAAGTATCCCTTTTGTTATTTAATGTATCGTTTATTGACGATCTCATGAGGTAGTTGGCTATTTTGACTCAACTTGATTTGCACAGATGGAATAGATTTGAGTTCCCGTTAAACATATGATCCAGACGTGAAAGTCAAAACAAAAGGCCGACTTTAACTAAAAGAAAATGAGTAAATAATTACCTTCCAGCGTCTTTGGAGACGGACACAGCTACTCCCAGCCCAGAGGCGCTCACTCTTTTGCAGACTGATTCCATGTCAATGACTGAGTCGATACAGTCCGGGCCTCCCACGATGCAACACTGTGAATCAGGACAGAAGCTGCTGTTGTCCAGGCCCTTGTAGCCGTGATTTCTGCCACACTTTTCCAGTGTGACAGTGGTGGCCATACCTGAGACTCCAACATGAACTACCAACTGGCAAACAAAGGAAACAATAAAATCATTAATCATAATATACTCAGTATAAACAGATATATATCAGAATCTGTATGCAAAGGACCAAGACCAATCACATCTGAGTGGGCGTTGGATGTTGCAGGTAAACAGTTCATGTGGACAGCAAAAGAGGCAGAATACTTTGGCTGAAGCGCACTGCAGATATCTAACCAAATGTGTCTGCCTCGCCATTCTTGCGTATCAAGTTGCTAATCAGACTGCAGAGGAAGACTTGACCCGGATATCCGCTGGTTACACCGAAAACCCTGAAACACTGGCCGTTGCCCACATAGGCTAAATCGTCATCAGATAATAGCCAACGGGTTTCAAGATCGATCACAATATATCTGTGGCATCTCTCCCAGACTTCTGTGCTTATTTGAAGTTGAAGTTGTCTAAAAAGGAGCTTTTTTTACTGGACCAGAAATGCACTTATATTTAACACAAAACACACATCTAAACCCAAGAACTACTAAACCAGACCCAAAACGCCCACTAACTCCCTCATAGAGAAGTTGCATGAGAGCCAGTAATTTGTTGATTAATTTTCATAACGTCTGCAATTTAATGCAGCATGTGTTCCACACATTTATTATTATCCGACTGTTCTCAGGGTGTATCCGATCCTATTATAACTTACATCAGACCTGAAATCTGTGGCAGTAAAATCAGACGTAATGTGAAACTGAGGCAGACACAAGTTCTTGTATTGCACCTTTCAAACTGGAATAATGTGGATGGGTGTGTTCTCCTGTGTTCTCCTGTGTTCTCCTCTTACCAGTGGGCGATACTGCTTCCATAATGAGGGAACCAAACTCTGGACTGTCTGATACTCTACAGGAACTTCAGACACATGCAAGTCCACTTCACCGCCCAGTCCAAGCTTCTTCAGTTCCTGTGAGGACAAACAAAAACATCATAACTAAAATAATCTTTTTAATTTTTAGAAAAAGCGTTTGGCATTTGTTAGGTGCTTGACGGTTAGCACACTTTTAGCATGTGGTCTCAGTGGGAACAAAAATCTAGCATTATGTTCTATCAAGTGCCCATTGATGCACTCACCCATTTAATGTAATGATTTTGTCAATGAATACAGTTTATATTTATCGACTAGAAAAAAGGTTTAGCTCAATCAAGTTTTAAAATATGTGGAGAGAGGTGGTGCAGTGATTGTAACACTATACTCAAAAGCAAGTTAGCAGTAAAAAACAGAACCATACGTTACTTGAAAATACACAATCAGGAATACTAATTTTTAAGTATGTGACAAGATAAAATGTAAAAAGTCCACTTGAGAATGTACTCACTGATAAAAAACCATAACTTTTCAGAACCACTGATGATGATCTTGGGCAAATGTTAATTAACTCTGTTTAACAGGTAAATGTCCTTTTTGCTTTTTCTTAAAGGACAGATGTTTCTCACTGGCCTTGCCCTTTCCAAATAACATGATTTCACCCTTTGAAAAAAAAAAATGTTTAACTGCAAATTAGAAGATTTAACTGCAATACTCAACCGTATTCATAAGTAAAAGCTTGAAAAAAGCAAGAAATAAAAGATGCAATCATACATATTGTAAGTAAGACAAATCTGTGTCAAATTCACAGCCATTAGACGAACACCTCCCCCAATCTCCCACAGGACAAATAGCCCTGGACACTGACCCCCACTTGTATTGAAAAGAGGCTTGTTTGACCACGTCTGTGACCTCGCCACAAAGCGGCCTTTTGTTTGCCTTTAATATCCTTATCAAGTCCGTCTAGACACCCTGACAGCACCATCATCCCCCACATGCGTTTCCCCAGTAGGATGCAGAGAGCCTCCGACACACTGCTGCATGGGGTGAAGCCGGCCGGCGACTATCAGAGCATCATGTGACCTCCACTAGAACAAGCTCGACACGAGAGCTAAATTGTTTGTTGACATTAACTAAATACATATTTATGTTTTTTTATCAAAAAGGATCAATTGCAACAGTCTTGTACCTCACGCTGATTTATTTCACACCACAGAAAAACATAGTGAAGACAGCAATAGAGAGGTGAAACACACCTGTACTGCTACCCAGCTGGCGTTGACCGTGTGCTCTCCAAATGGCCCAAAACCTGCAAAACACATTATCACGTTATTTTAAACAATGATGTGTTGTTTGTTCCTGCAACATGGTCTCTGGTGGGTCTCACATTATCAGTTAGTAAAAAAAAAATGACGTAAAAAAGCAAATGCAAATACATTTAATTCTGTGGAAGCAGATGAGTGAATGCAGTGTAACTTCCAAACAGCTATGGGCTATCTTAGGAGTCTCCTTGTTGTAATAAAGAATTAATTATGTCCTACTGAATGGGCTGCGTTGTTAGGCTTGAATATGAGACCTTAGTGTGTTGATGTGTCAATGCTTTCCTTGAATTACCACATTAAAATCACTTTCACTAGAAATCACTCCATATGACCTACAAAATAGCAGCAGCAGCCACCTATGGATATTCACTCAAGCTTGTTTATATAGGGATCTATAGCTGATCCCCTTCCACCACCTTTCTAAGGGTCAGCCGGTCTCTGGGGGTTTGGGTGGAGGCAGGGGGGGTTCGGGTGGAGGCAGGGGGGGGGTCAGTCTGTCTGACAGGCTGCTGAAAAGGAGCAGAGTGAGGGGCCGGCAGCTGCAAGCCGGCCCGCTATTGTGGAGGTGCTGTTCCCAGGCAATCTACACATCTTCTATTAGCCGGGGGACTGCAAGCCTCTGCACCCCTTTGTGTCTGAAAACACCAAGTCACTGCTTCTGTTATCCTCCACAGACTGAATGTGCACGACTGTAGTTTGGGCACTTGGAAAAATATTATATTTAAGAGGTTAGAAGTGAATATTTACGGATACATTCATGTCACTGTAATCATTATTTAGTTAGAGTCTTTCTTGTTTAATTCTTAATGATGCAAAATGCTACAAACACATAAAGCAGCTTTTAAAAACAGATTGGTAGGACGCAGCTAAAAACAGCTCTAGGTGCAAAATGTAATATTACAATAGAGACTAATGTGATTAAATTGTAAGTAAAATGCTCCAATTCAAAAAAATACAGCAGGATATCGATACTGGAACACAATCATTGGTTGATTTGATTATTTGGTTATTGTGTTATTTACTTTTAACCACTTTTGCCCAAATCTATAAAATAACACCATGTCTGTCTGGAAAGAGGCCGGGTGTTGAGAACAAGTCCAACTGTTGTGAAACTCACAATACAAAGCCATGAAGACAAAAAGCCACTCTTTCTTTTGTGCAGAAAAGTTGAAAATGTTTTGACTATTACAACTAAATCTCTGCATATGAATCCCAGACAATACAACATATTCATTTCATAGCTGCAGGAAGCATTTTCTCAGCATTGTCTGTCGTTCACACATATTAAAGTGACATTTAATGATAATAACAACCATAAACTGCTGTCTGAGATAACTTTGATTTTTATTTGTGCACCTATTAATATAGGCCACACTCTATAGTTAACATATTTTACCAATAATTACAATTATTACACATTTCTATCATTTCTAGTGAGTTATTTAGTGATTCTTTTATACTGTTTATCTTTACATTGATTGTGGCCTTTGGTGAACAGAAAACAACAAAGATAAATATATATATATATAATTTCACATAGCTCGTCAGGAGCCTCAGATTGTATTTTTAAAAATAACTCACCACCACCACTCAAATGATTCTCACAACTAACAAAGCAAAACGTTTGAATGAGCAGTGTCGAGCTGCAGAGTGGAGCAGTAACAGCCTGACGCCATTAACGCTACAGCAGCTGTCATCTCTACAACTTTTCCTCCACTTCCTCCGGTTGTTTCAGGCTGCCGACAAAGAAAAACTACTGCGGGACAAAGAAGACAAACCTGTAACGACCACCGTGCGTTTACTGTTATCCATCGCCCGTCCGGTCACAGGTGGGAGGGAGTCCCGTTGTTTCCTTGTTTCTCTTTTTTTTTTAATCTTTTATTTATTTGTGACCCGGGACCGTAAAGGGAGTGAGCACCCTCCACAGCTGACGGCTCCTTCTGCCAGACACCAAACCGGTCCTCTTCTCTGTCGACGGGCTGCGTTGCGTGATTACGTCAGCAACGTGACGCTGATTAAACCAAGGATTGACGTAAACAAATCAATAAACACAATGTGGTGGATAAATAGATCAATAGATAAATATAAGTGTTGCCAAGAAATAAATTAGTAATTGGCAAGAATACATATTTAAATTTAAAACTATTTATATAAAAATGTATAAAAGATACATAATAAATAATAAATAAAAAGACAGAAAGATTCCCAGGGTTATTACACATTATTATATTTTGGTTATTGATAGTTATTTATTGATACTTATTCAGAAATCCGCATTTTCTGATTCACCGTCCGGACCAGCAGGTGGCGGTAATGCACCAATAATCTGGATGTCAACCGCCGTAATACAAGAGGAAGAAGAAGAAGCGGCGGCAGTAGACCAGTGAGAGGTGAAATCGTGTGAAAGGCCGAAGAGAGAAACAGCAATAAGACCGTAAATCAACAAAGAGATACTGCCACAATGGTGAGTATTTAACCGCAGAGCTCAGATTAAACGCTGATAGTTGTCTCAGACTGCCTGTAGCACGATAACTGTGTGAACCGGGTCACAATGACAACCCGTGTGTTAGCGGTAGCTGCTTTAGCCTGTTAATGTCCAACACACTGTCTTTACCGGGCTGAAGTGGAGATATAAGCTCATTTAACAGCGAACTGACGGGCTATTGTTGCTTTTAAATCAACTGTATTATGGTTTACACATATTATAGATTACACACACAAGGAAATTGCTTCAGTAAAACATTTATAAAGTGCATTTAGTTCATAAAGTTCATGTAGTCAGAGTTCGTTTTTTTTCCAGGTGCTGGTTTATTTATTTAAAGTGTTTAAAGGTTTTTCTCCTCCTGAGTTCTGTGTGTTTTTTTTTTGTGGCTGTCTTATATAGTTTGTTGTTGCTTTACATAGCAGCAGGTTTAATTAGAATAACACACTGCTGGGTGAATTATGGGTTCTTACTTGTGGCAGACAGCCTGCAGCAGTAGTAGTTAGGGGACCGTGTCTGAAGGTTAAAGTTGGGTCTAACCTCAAAAGCAGTCAGGTTAAAAACAAGCAACCTAACATACTGTTAAAGGCAGGTGAGTTCTTACCTGTGACCTGTTTTTCTTTCATTTTGCAGCTTCCACTATCTCTGCTGAAGACTGCCCAGAACCATCCTATGGTGAGGAGACACTGCTGTCAATGAGCTTATGTCAGCCTGTGGATGTGCAGCAAGTTCACATATATATTTTAATGTTTCTTATCTGTATATTTATTGATTTATATAACTTAGCTGTTAAACTGCTAATCTTAAAAAAATATTGCAAGGTATCAGATGAGAAAGTGAAAAATTGCTTAGAGACTGAAAGAAGGCAAAGTAACCCAAGGTATTTTATCTGTAACTGTGTAAAGCAACTAACCTTTCCTGATTGTTAGTCTGTAATCAGTAAATGTAAATATTTATACTGCTATTAGTCGGTTTATAGTTTGAGAGTAACCTTAATGCAGTTACTCAGGTTTGGTCTGCTTCCATTGGGCTTCATTT